TATTTAAGTTTTATTTATTTATTTGAGGGAGAGAGACAGAGAGGGAGAGAGAGCAGGGGGAGGGACAAAGGGAGAGGGAGAGAGAATCTCAAGCAGACTCCCTGCTGAATGCAGAGCCTGACACAGGGCTTGATCCCAGGACCCCAAGATCATGACCTGAGCTCAAATCAAGAGCCAGATGCTCAACTGACTGAGCCACCCAGGTGCCCCTACATGTATTTTAGATCATTTGAAATTGTCCCACAGGTTCCTGAGGCTTTATTTTTCCTTGATTTTTTTTCTGTTTCTCAAATTTGATAATTTTATTGTTCTGTCTTCAAGTTCATTGATCCTATCCTCCAAATTACCATTTAGCTCATCCAGTGACTATTACATTTCAAGTATTATGCTATTTGGTTTTCGAATTTCTATTTGGTTATTTATTTATTTAATTTATTTACTTATTTACAGTTTTCCTTTCTTTCCTGAGATTTTCTAGCTGTTCTCTCATCAAGATCCTATTTTCCTGGGTTTTTTTGAACATATTAATAATAGTTGATTTAAATTCTCTGCCCACTAAATCCAACATCTGGGCCATCTTGGGGACAGTTTCTATGGATTTCTTTTTCTCCCCTCTTATTGTGAGTCACATTTCCCTGTTTCTTTGCATGTCTAGTAACTTTTAATTGTATACTGGGCATTGTGGATAATATGTTGTAGAGATCCTGGATTGAGTTTTTGTTTTAGTTGGCAGTTCAATTATTGATGAATCACCCTGAACTTGTGTAGGCTTAGTTTTAAACTTTATTATGGTAGATCTGTGAAATGCCAAGGGTATTTGCCAATTCCATCAAACATGTGGGACACAACCTCCAAACTGTTTCCACTGAGGATCTTGTCAGGGCTTGGTTTTAGGCTTTGTTAGGGTGGATCTTGCTTAAATCTTACTCTAGGACATGTAGAGTAAGTAGGGCATTTCTGGTAAACTTGATCCTCAGAGTAGAAAAAAGGTGTTAAAGAGGTCTCTCCACTCAGTACTGCTCAGCTTCTAGTGTTTCTATCCCACTTTCAGCCCTATAGTGGCCACTGTCTGGTCAGCCTTATGCAGTCTCACATTGTACAAGTACTGTCCAGCCCCCAGCCCAGAGACTTCTAGACCTCCACCCCCACAGCTCTCTTCTTCCTCTTTTTCTGAGCCCTTTCTCACAGATTCTTGTGCTTCAGCTGCCCAAAACCCCGATCTCTTCTTCCTTAGTTCTGAGGTACTGCCATGCTCTGCTTGGACTCCAGTTCACCGCACCACAGTCAGAGAAACTGTCCCTATGCAAAGCATCAGGGCGATCATGGGGCTTACTTTGTGAATATCACTTTTCTCAGCAATTGCAGTTTTCGGTCTGTGTCCTATGCCTGGAAACATTTACTGCAAGCATTTTGTCCTGTTTTACGGTTGTTTACGTAGCTAGCCCAGTACTACATACTCCATCAGGGCTGGGAGTAGATATCTATTTTATCAAGAGCCTCCTGCAATCCTGTAATTTTCCCACGAGTTTCATTAGAAGCACTTCCTGTGTCATGTCATAATACTTATTGATTATCTCTTCAATTGTTACTGGTCTAACTTTGCCACAGAGCCATTCAAAGATGATTTTGCCTGTAATTTGAGCAGTTTTCCAATATCAATCTTATTGATTTCGTGAAACCTCACGTCTTTTAAAGATTTGCTGTTTTACTTTCCAATTGATTTGCATTGTGTTTGCATGACATTGTTGGCTGTTTATAACATTGCACATTCACTGTGATATTAATAAAGATATTGACCAAGTAGCAGGGATATACACATTTGTGTTACTTGGGTTGGGGTAGGAGATGGTTAGAGGTTCCCTGATTTCACATTTATAATTAATTAGTGAATACTTCCTGAGCATTTTGCTTTTTTGTACAACTTTGTAGCAGTGGACACTTCAGTAATGAATAGTCATACAATTCAGATTACCAGGAACTCTCCCACCCACAAAGTGTGTATGATTGGGAAGGGGTGAAGGAACGCATGAGAGAAAGGCCAGGGAAGAAAGCAGTTAGTGGCTGAGCCAGGGAGGGCACTTGAGGGAGTCTTGGCATCAGGACTGTGGGAAGTGGGCCCTGGGAGCCCCCTGCCTCCTTTCAGGGCCTTTGAGCTAGAGCTGGGCCAAGCAGTCTCTGAGGCTGGGTGTCCCCAGCACTGAACCAGCCAGAAGATTGTGTCTCAATGAGACCTGGCCTATGTCCCCATGAAGTCCTGCTTCAATGCCTGGGTTTCCCAGGGGATCCTCCTTCAGCAGTTGATGCTTGATATAAGACTATGTTTGGGGGCAGGCCAGCATCAGCCTGCAGGCCTGGGTAAACACCAAGACCTGGAGAACTTGGCTGGAGTGGTCATGATGGGCCCAGTCTCCCATATTCCTGATGCCTTTGACATGCGGTCAGTGTTAGACACCAGCAGAGGAGGCTGAGGGTAGGAGGTACAAATTGAGGCTGGTTTTCCGGAGATTAGGCCCAGGGTGGCCAACCAGAGGGCTTGGCTGACCAGGGCTCTGGCAGCAGTAGGAGAACATGTACAGCTTTCCCTCTTGGTTTTTGGTTTGCCTGGGTGGCTGGGAAGCTGGAGGTGGCTCTGGTGGTGACAACTGGATTCTCTTCAGGAGCGCCCCATTCAAGGCCTAATGTTACTATGGTTTCTTTGGCATTGTTCCCAATCCGCTATGCCCTGGTGGGGCCTGGTCCACAAATCCCGATTCTTTGGCTGCTGTTCATCACCCTACAGTGGACCCAACGTGGGACCACCACGGCACAGGCCCCAGCATTGCTCTGTGGAGACCTGCAATCCTCCCATGTGGGCAGGGGGGGAAGGGAGACCAGGGAAGGGCAAGCAATAGACTCTCCTGAGGTCCCTGCAAGTCAGGGTGAGGTGCAGGAAGAGAATTTAGGACCTTCCAGAGTGGATGAGGCTCCTTAAACAGGCAAGGGAAGAGGAAGTGGCACCTATCCATGTGTCTCAGGAAGCACCAAATGTCTGGGTCTCCTTGAAGAGACCAACAAGTTGGTAAGGCCAAGAAATAAGTGTTTATTTCTGCTTGCTGCATCCAAGGCCGTAATGATGTTTTACCGTTTAGTTTCAGGAAGAAACTGGAAGAACTTTGCCCTGGTTCCCCTTTTAAGAGATGCAAGTACAAGAGAAAGGCACTCTGCCCAGCCAGAGGAAGTTCATCTGAGGCACTTTGCAGGGTCCCTCAAGCCAGAAGATGCTGAGGTCTTCAAGGATCCTGTTGCTTTAGGGGAGAAGTGAGGGACCCCTCTAGGGTACTCTTAACACTGTTGGGCCTCAGAATATCCCACTGTGTAGGGAACAATAGGGCACTCTTAGCAGCCTCGCCTGGTCTGGGCCCGCCTAGGCACTTGCTTCGCCTGCTCTGGACAAGCTGCGGGAAGCATTGCTGGATGCACGGGAAGAGATAGTTGTCCAGCCCTCATTGTCCCCAAGTGAGTCTCCACCAAGGAAGGATTGTGCTCTCATATTTTTACTGACTTTGTTAAGTATCATGAATGATGAATCTTTGTGTGGACATATGTGATGCCCCTGTTTTATTTATTTATAATACTAGGAGTAAAAGTAAATGAGGCCCAGGAAAACACCTCTTAGAACAAAACAAAACATGTCCTTTGATGTAAAATGCTGAAGCCGTTCTCTGTATTGTGTTTAATACCTCCCCTGGACAGAGTGGTCTGGGGGTGATGTCCTTTAGTCGTCAGAGAAGGTGGGGGAGGCTGGCCCTATTTCCAGCTCTGCCAGAATCAGGTTTCGCCAGAGCAACTTCTCTTTCTGTGTGATACATCACAGTCCCAAACACCTTAGCTCTATTGCTGTTCAGATAAAAGTACAGAACCATGTCTCAAAAGCACGTGGCAAGAGTTTTTAATGATCTTCCATTTATAGTGACCATAGTCTTGCCCCCCTGCCGTGGTACATACCTCTGCCTCCATCCATCCTGTCACTCATCAAATAAATAAGTAAGTAAGTAAATAAATAAATATCCTACCAAGTGTGAACTTTGTGCCAGTCACTGGGCTAGCATAGCTAGTTGGCTCTGTGGTGTGTATGTGTGTGTGTGGTACTACCGAGGCTGGGACTTACTATCGAGGTTAAGAAGGTTACACAGCCAGTAAACACCATTGCTTGGGTCTGCCCCCAGGCAGTCTGACTCCAAAGCCTGGAACTTAACTGTGATGCCAGGCTATCTGGCAGAGAATGGGCTGGGGCATGCCAGTCCATGCCTGGGGAGCAGAGACATGAGGGCTTTGTGCTTCCTGTTGTGGGTCTGGGACCCCCTCGCTTTCCTGTAAGCCTTCCTTAGAAGGTGTCATGTAGATGGCAGATATTTGCAAGTTTCTGCAAATCAGATCAACTTTCAAACTTAGAGCTGCATCAGGGAAATCCAAATCAAAACCTCAATGAGATACCACCTCACACCAGTCAGAATGGCTAAAATTAACAAGTCAGGAAACGACAGATGTTGGTGGGGATGCGGAGAAAGGGGAACCCTCCTACACTGTTGGTGGGAATGCAAGCTGGTGCAGCCACTCTGGAAAACAGT